TATATAGGTAATATCTAGCTTCTGGCTATAGACTTGATGGCTTGGCTGAAACCTGCAGAAAGGTGCTGATTGCCTTGGCTTTATTAAGCCAAGGCATGAGAATGACCTAAACAATGTACTTGGATCTTGACACAATCAAAGAGGGGAGGCTAGAGAAAAAGGGTGCAGTTAAATCTGATCACTGCCCCATCAGGAGTAAGACTCCGGACAAACAAGCACTATTATGTTGACTTTTAGGGATAATGGTCTTTCCCCTCTAGCAACTCCCAAACCTGTCTGGTAGTGAATTTTCCAGTTGTTTGGGCAAGCCCTCCCTGTGCCTACTTGACTTGCCATATAGAGCAGAGGTCGGCAACCTACGGCCCGTGTGCGGCCCGCAGAGACCTTGGGACCGGCCCATGGCTGGTCCCGCCGCCACCCCATGCGAGCCACCCCACCGCATGTGAGCGCGGGTGCCATTTTGGCTTCCAAATGGCGCCTGCATTTGCGCACGCATGTGCATGATGTCGGGCGCCATTTTGGAAGGCCCCACGATGGCTGCACAGCCGCCGTGGAGCATTGGGGAGGCCGCACCGCAGCTGCATTGGGCAAATTCGCCCGGCGCAGGTGCAGGGGGGCCTTTCCAAGGCCCAGGGAAGGCCCCCTGCGCCTGTGCCGGGCGAATTTGCCCACTGCAGGCACAGGGAGCCCTTCCAAAATGGTGCTTGCATCACGTGCGCATGTGCACGACGGCGGCATCGTGCACATGCGTGCAGGGGGGAAGCGCACCCGGCCGCCCCCACGCCATTCCCCCCCCAGCAACAAAGGTTGCCAGCCCCTAATCTAGAGGCTTATGGCTGACATTCCACAGAGGTCAGTTCGGGGTCACAGAGGGAACTCCACATGTCCCAAAAATCTTATTAAAATCATATTTGCTAACACTAGGAGTGAATTGATTTGAGCATTGTTTACTTATATTTAATAATTCTTGAAAGGTATCCCACATTCATTTTATATCCCAATAGCCATAAATTTTTGATCTGAAATATTTGTTTAGATTTTTTTTTAAGTACACAAAAATGTACACACACACACACACACACACACACACAGAGTTAACAAAGCAGTTCTAAACTGGTCAAAAGATGACTGAAGCTCTAGTGGATGCTGTGGAATTGCTACAAGCACCTCCTTCCCGAGACCCTGCTGTATGCCCACAAAAAGCTCTTCAGGTATGAATGTATCACCTATGGCAGGGCCTGAAATAGGCAGGCTTGGATCCAAAGCTTCCTTGCTCCTTCATAATGCCCCACACAAAAGGGACAGTAAATTTGATTGGCATCAAAGGGAGGCAATAGTGGGCCCTTGGTATTTGCTCGGGTCTGGTTCCAGGCACCTCCATGGATACCAGATTCCATGGATGCTGAATTCCCATACAATGGCATAGTAAAATGGTGTCCCTTATTTAAAATGTCAAAATCAAAGTTTATTTTTTGGAATATATATATATTTTTTAATATTTTCAAGCTGTGGAACATTGAATCCGTTGATAAAAAAAAATTAATGGATATGGAGGGCTGCTCCATAAAATCCAAAAAATCTGTGGATATAGAAGACAATCAAATTGCCATGGAATAGGAAATGTTACCTCTACTAAGGTTTATTTTCACTCCTCCTCCTAGGGTCTCTTAAGTGGTTCAAACATTAGTGGACCTTTTTACTACCTTCAAAGGCAGTATTGTACACTTCACTTACCACTGTTGGTTTTGGCTGCATACCAATACAAAGCCCCTGAAAACTGTTGGTATTAATTCTAGCACATCTGAAACTGAGAGAGTTGAATTTTCTTCTACTGAAGTCATTGGGAACCTACAGTTTCACTATCTGTAGAGTATGTAACTTTCACTATTAGTTCAATTTCAGACTGAGGCAAATCCTTTTCAGAACTGCTGTAACCACATTCTCTTTCACAGATGCTTCTACTTGATGAATTTATAAGTAAGAGCACCTTCTCACATGAGTAGAAGGGATCCATGATGCAGCACCCATTGCATACAGTGGCCTGTCAACTCATTGTTCATAATGTATTACCCTCCAATCAGGGCGAACAGGAAGGTCTTGATGCCAGCATCTTCAAAGCTGATAGAATTTTAGACTGTGGGAGCAGCAAGTCACAGAAGCCACTGCTGGTACTTGCTGTTGCTAATGATACCGACTTGCAGCGGTGGACCACGTCCTTGGGCAAAGGACTAGACAGGCCATACCATCCGATGGCCGCTCAGCTACCTCACCAAGAGAACCTCAGAGCCCTCTTTATTTGTTACATGAATGATTCTCCAGAAACATCCATTTTAAAGAAATACAAATAAGTATAAATAATAAATAAGTTTAGCAGTGCTTCCATTTGTTAGTCTAATCTTTAACCCTTTCATACAACACAATTATATTACTATGATTCCACTTTAACTGGCATGGTTCTATCCTATGGAATCTTGGGATTTGTAGTTTACAGAAGTGTAATTTGAATTATCAGACAGAGAGCTCCTCTGGTGCTTCAGCAGACTATAAGCTCCAGAATTCCATAGTATGCAACCATGGCAGTTAAAGAGAAACCATAGTGCTATAGCTGTGCAGTGGGGAAAGGTCCCTTGTTTTGGAAGTTTAGCCTGGAGGAGAGACAGCTAAGAGGTGATACGATAGCCCTGTTTATGTTTTTGAAGGGGTGTCATATTGAGGATGGAGCAAGCTTGTTTTCTGCTGTTCCAGAGAATAGGACACAGAACAATGGGTGCAAACTACAGGAAAGAGATTCTACCTCAACATTAGGAGGAACTTCCTGATAGTCAGAACTGTTTGACAGTGGAACATGCTCCCTTGGAGAATGGTGGAGTCTCCTTCTTTGGTGGTTTTTAAACAGGATGAATGCCCATCTTTTTGAGTCTTGACAATTTAACACTGAAAGGGATGTTATTTCCAGGATAACCTTTCTATTCTATAAGGCAGATGTCATCTTAGTTTAAAAAGCCAGGATCAATCACCCAAGCTCTCCAAAGGAATTCTCAAGATTTTGTAACCAAGTCACACAAACTAACACAGTTAGCATATTTATATTTTTTACTGGATTCTTTCTTCATTTAGATTTTTAATCAGTTTTATCTGTAGCAGTGACAGATTAGCCTGCATCTGCACTGTAGAATTAATGCAGTCTGACACCACTTTAACTGTCATGGCTCAGCAATGGAATTCTGTGAGTTGTAGTTTTGTGAAATATTTAGCCAGAACAGCCTTCAAGATTGATCTCAGGCTACAACACAGCAGCAATGGGAATCAGGAGGCCCATTGTATTTTTCTGGAGTGTAATTCCCAGCATTCATCACCACTGGCTATGCTGGGAAGGGCTGCTGGGACTTAGGGGCATTGCAGACTGACCTAAAGGGCCAGCTTGGGGCTGGAGTTGGGGTGGGGCAGCTGCATGCCGGCCGCCCCAACCCCACCTCGACACAGTCCTGATACTGTCCTGACGCCACACGGCTGTTTGCATGGCACACGGCATCAGGACGGCCTCCCAGTGCAGCATGCAGACACACTGCACTGAAAGGGCATGGAAGAACCACGGAGCCGGCTCTTGGGGTGGCATTTTGCCACTCTTTTAGGGGCGGCAAAAAGAAGGATCGAGGCTGCGGCATGGGATTGCCGTGGCCCCGATCCGCTGCTAGCAGGGGCAGCCCAGAGCTGACTGTCTGCATAACCCCTTAGACTCCTATGACTATATGTTGGCTGCTCCTGCAGAATGGTGATGGAAAGATGAAGTTCCCAGATCATTTTTTTTAACAGACCAAAAAAAGAGGAATATATCACATGTCTGCCATAAAATTATCTTGTTTAATCTTTTCAACACCTCCAAATAAAAGACAACGGCTTAGAGGAAGAAAAACAGACACAATTAAATAACTAGCAGCAACATCGTTAAGGCTGCAATCCAATTGAATTTGCTGCTACAAAAAATAGCATTGCAGTTTGCCAACAACCAGCTTAACCAGAAAGGGAAGTACAGTATTTCAAAACAAATAAGCAACGTGGATTAATCTCATTGCTCTAAGAAAACACAGGCAAGTGAAATTACTGATGACCCAGATAGCCTTTTCCTTTGTAGATGTATTAGTTTTGTTGTTTTGGTCAGTAGATTAAAGCGCATACAAATTTATAATTCACCTGCACCTTGACAGCTGGAGTCATTTTGCATCATTTAAAATCCTTTGAGCATAATTGCCTTCTGACTGACCAAAATGTTAGGCTGATAGCTTCCATTTTCACATAGTACATTCAGAGTAGCTGCAATTCTATGCATGCTCAGCTGTATGTTGAACTAAACAATCCGTGGGAGTGACCTAAGTAAACGTGCTTTAGATCACAAGTTTCTACCCATAAGTGTTTGTG